TAACAAATGTGCATTAATAAAATAGTGTCAGGTCAGGCAAAATTATATTAAACATAAAATAGAAAGAGTAAATTATGCACCTGAAGTTTTTCAGCCCACCATTCTTCTGGTGCATCTATTGTGCGCTTAACTGGGTCCCAGTCTATTCCCGTTGATCCCCTTTTCAGTTCTTTCCATATTTTCCAATCCTTCTTTAACTGGTCCCATTTGTTCTTCATTTTCATTCGATTGTAATCTCTTCCAGTCATTTGTTTGAATTTAATCAAGATATTTCGCCACCCTTCTTTGTTAAAAAATGTAGTGGGTCTATTTCCCACCTCAACCTCCCTTACACATAAATCACAAAAGATCATAGTAACTTCTTTATCCCACATAGCTGATGTTCCAGCCTCTTTAGCTTTACTCATTGAGTTCTGTCAGATTAATGGATAAGCACAAAATGTTTCTTTTCATGGCAAATAAATCACAAAACCAAAGAACAATTTCTATATCAACCCTCTAAAAAATCACAAAGTAGTTTATATTTTAGTTAGTGGACCAAATAACATTTATCTATACTCTAACTTGAATGGGTATTAATCTAGCTTTATAGCAAGTTCATGGGCTTACTCACAACCCTCACTACAAGCATGACCCAAAGTGGTGCTTGACATTAGTTTTCTACCTAACTCAGACAATAGTTTCATGCATTGATATGTTTTCCAAATGAACTTGCTGCATGGATTGACATTTATTGCTACACATATTACCTAAAAGTACAACTTTAGATGTCTGGCATGGTCTGCATTTGTGATATACTCTACTAACATGCTTTTTCCTAATCATATAAAGCCTTTTAAAATGAACCTTCAATGATATAAATTTTTGGGTCGAAAAACTTATAATTTTGTTTCTTTATAATTTTATAGATGATAGTAGTTAGAGAAGTAATAGACCTTTTTTTGATAAGAAAGCTTCTTGATATAACAAATTTATACCTATAATTCATCTTTTTATATGGAAAACTTAAATCATCTTCATGGCATCTAAGCGATCTAACAAAATATTAGGAAAACGAAGAAGATATACCTGTAGCGAGGAAAACCAAAGAGGGCTACAAAAAAAATGAAGTAGGTGGAAAATGTCGATGGATTCTCCGCTGCTCAATCCGACATCGAATGTCAAGCTTATGCGAGAGAACGACCGGGGATGGATCCTGCGTCGGTCGGCTCGCTGACGCGAGGGAGAGGCTAGGGGTTGCTGGATCGAGCCTCGATCGGGCTGGTGACGGGAGAACGGCTGCGATCTGGGTGGCTTCAAAGCTGCGCGTCGGGGATCTCAACAGAGACGAGAGCGAGCGAGAGCGAGGGCCCTAGGTCACGGGAGAGGCGAAGGAAAAAAGAAGGACAAGTGCGTAAATTGTAATTGTAAAACGCGGAACGCGGGGGTCAGCGCGCGGTCCGCGTCTTTTACAATTTTGGAAACGCAATTTTCAATAATCTGGCGATAAGTGGGTACCAAACAGCGAGGCGGCGTTTTGAAAACGCCGCCCGCACTTATAAGCTGTCCCAAACGGGCTCTAAATCCATACATTTATTCCATTGCCACATGGTAATTTTGTGTCTCCATTATTGTATACGATGTCCGATCTACATCATAGATCATAATGATGTGAGATTGCAGCCAGATTTTTTTTAAATAAAAATAAAAATAAAAAAAATTGAAGTGGAGCCCACCACCGTAGATCACCGTATGCAATAATTTTTCGGGCCCGAAGAGAAACTGATCTGATGGAGAGAACTGCGAGACCGGCGGGCTGCAAGAAATCATTCAAATTCCAGTTTTCAAACCTCTTTCCGCCTCCGCTCTCTCTCTCCTTCCTTCTCCATTTCTCTCTCTAGAACCCAAAGCAGGTTCATTCTTGCTTATCACAATCACCGGAAAAGAATCTCTAATCTCTTGCTTCCGCTGCCATGAGCGGAGCTCCTCCTTCCGGCAGTGGTAGAGAACTCGCCAACCCTCCCTCCGACGGCATCTCGAACCTCCGCTTCTCAAATCACAGCGACCACCTTCTCGTTTCATCCTGGGACAAGGTAAAGTTTTCTTCTTTTTGTTCTAAGCTGGACTGTGCGAATTGCATCGGGATGCTGGTTTTAGGGTTTTCTTTCTCTGAGCAGAGTGTTCGTCTCTACGATGCCAGTGCGAATGTGCTCAAGGGTGAGTTCATGCACGGCGGCCCCGTTCTCGACTGCTGCTTCCACGACGATTCATCTGGTTTCAGTGCCAGCGCGGACTGTACCGTTCGGAGGTAGGAGGCGATCTGTGGATTCTATTAGCAATTTGTATAAGTGTATATTTTGGGCTTTAAATTTGCTGGTCCGTGTGAAGTATATGGTGTATTTTAACATTGTTAACTCGTTCTCATCGACATACCTTAACGAAATGTCTTGAAATTGTAATGCTCTTTATGGTACTTTTGAAATGCCTGGTTGCGTCTCAAACACTTTGCTGCCGTGTTATACCTAATCTGAAACGACTAATCCGCTCCGATTGTATCACTTTCCTGACATGTTTGTTTTATATGGCTGTAGAATGCATCCATACTTGTCTCGAAAGTCTTAGTATGCATGTATATGTGCGTGTGCGTGTTTGTGTGTGTGTGTGTGTGTGTGTGTCTCTCTCTCTCTCTCTCTCTCTATATATATATATATATATATATATATCATGTAGATTAGATTGATGTGCATTGTTCCTTTCAAATATATAACACTTATCTCCATTTAGAATAAGAAATGCAGAAATTTTAAGGACCCTTATTTTGGAATATTGATTTATCTTTGTTTGTAGAATTGTAAGTCTTTAAATGTAAGCGTTTTTCTATCTGTAGTTTAATATATAGTACATAAATATTTAGGTGTCATATATAATTCGATATGATATCTACTTATCTAGATTATAATAGGTGTTAGATGCGTCTTGCCCCTATTAAATTATAAATACTTATTCTACACACTATGGAACAAACACATTTAAAAAGTTTAAGTGCGCTCCATTTTAAAAGGACAGGTTTTCTCACTGATTGGTCTTTAATATATGGTATCTATAGTATGTATATGTGGTATATAGTTAGATATGATATGTAGATTGAGCAAACATCTGATAAATAATTAAATAAACTAAGCTTTTCCTCTCACTAAAGAATAAGAAAGTTCAAATTATTTTGGGGGAGTTCCGTTTTAAGATGTTACTCCATTTAAGATGGTACTCCGTTTAAGATGGTACTCCCTCTTCTCTTAAAATGGCAATGTTTGCATTTTAAATTTGAAATTTTCTTATACCACTTAGAAGAGTTAAAAAGCTCCTTTTTCTGATAATTCTTTTCTTATAAAATAGGCATGTCTTCAGCTCTGGCAAGGAGGATATTTTGGGACGTCATGATGCTCCAGTACGTTGTGTTGAATACTCTTATGCAGCAGGTTGGTGGTTGCATTTCTTCTTGTATCCATATACTAGTATTTTCTGTGTTCATAGATTTCTATCTTCCTAAAAATTCCAAAATGTAACAGTTCATAAGTCGAATGGTATAAAATTTATTGTTTCTCAATTACTCATTCAATATTTTCTTTTATTACAGTGACACTATAATTATAGAATTATATTTGCAAGTGTTCTTGGATTATTATAGATGTTTGGTTTTTTTTTTTTTCAGCCAATTTGCAGCCAATTTGACCAATAATTTCAATAATTTCTTCTATTTGACTGACAATTTGCATCAACTTTTTGATAGGAATGCGACAAGTTTCCACAAAAATTATGGCATAAATAATATATTCTATTTCGCCGGTACCAAAACAAAATACAATGCTGAATACATAATAGATAGGCCTACGAGTCGAGATGCAGGATTGTCTCTTCCAAACCCTAACTTCTAAGATTCCAAATAATAATCACCTAACTTAACTTTAATCACATTAAGCCATATTTGTACCAAATAATAATAACTAACAAAAGACTAAATTGCCCTTTTAGCCTTATGCCTAAAACAAGTCTACAATTTATTTGGCGGGCCCAGCCTGACGGAAAACGTCACAGATGCCAGTTTAACATTAGTTCTCTTCCGTTCTCAAGGTGAAAAATAGAAAATCACTGTTGGATCTAATCGTATGACTCCCATGTGATGTCATGATCCGACAATCATTTCCGTTTAATCAACACTTCATTCCCATCTATTGATTCCTTGCGCACCCCTTTCAACACCGGTGACTCCAAGAGAATTTTCATGCCCTAAGTTAAGGTAATGGGGTGAAAACAAAGACACATTATCCCCAATAGCGTGCCTTAGCTGCGATCCGTGGAATACTGGATGAAGTGTTGATGAAGTCGATAATTTTAAATGATAACCACCCCACTAATGCACTCCGTGATCTTAGAAGGACTAAAATAGTGTGGGAAGAGTTTCTCATTCTTGGGTCTTGCCAATGTATTTTGTCGATTGTGTCCAAGTTTTAGATACACACTGTCTCTCATCGCAAATTGCACATCCCTTTGATGCTGGTCGGCCTATTTCTTCATAAATTGTTGAGCCTTCAATAATTGTCCTTCAAATTTGTTAACACCTTGTCGCTTTCTTCTAAGTACTAATCCACTCGAGATACCAACATAGTATTATGTCTATAATGCACCAAATCTGGTGGATCACAGTCATACAAGATTTTAATAGTAGTGTGAGAAACTATATGATACGAAGTTTTGTACCAATATTTTATCCTGGGTAGCCATTTAGCCCATTATTGGGGTTCGTCAAATACAAAACATCACAAATATGTTTCCACACTTCAATTAATTATTTCAGATCTTCCATTAGTTTGTGGCACGCTATATTTTCTTCAATACGGTCCTTTGCATTCTAAGCAGCTCCCCAAAGAAATATCTCAAGAAGGCATTGTATTGATCCGACACTATCTGTTCTGGATTCCTGTGCAAATGAACAACCTCCCATATAAAAATAAGGGTGAAAAAAATAATAGTGTAGGGGTGACAAAGAGATAAACTGAGCATATTTGCTCAAGGTCCACCACCACCAAAATTATTGTAAATCTTTTTTATTGAGATAAATCTTCAATGAAGTCCATCATCACCTCCGCCCATATTTTCTCGAATAATGTTAGAGGTTGTAGCAACCCCCCCACCCCAGGTGCTATTGCCATGTACTTGTGCTGCTGACACACATCACAACTTAATATCATGTCCTCCACATCTTCTCTCATTTCTACCCAATATAATTCTACTGTTATCCTCCAACATGTTTTGAGCATGCTTGAGTGCCCCCAATAGCGTTGTTGTGAAACTTTTGTAATAACTTTGATATGTCTCTTGAATTCCGAGGTAATACATAACATTCATGGTAATGTAAACATTGATCATTCGGTGAATAATCATGATAGTTGTTTTCTCCATTTACTAAAGCCGATCAGATCTTGCTTAAGTTCTTATCTGCCTCACTTTCTTAACTCAGGATCTCCTAACCTAAAACCAAAGAAACTGACAAAGCTAACAATTGTGGTATTCCATCCGCTGTGATAAGGCATTAGCAACCTTATTCTCTAACCCTGGGCAAACACTGAATCTCATAGTCATAATCCAATTGCTTAGATAGCCACCTCTGATGTTCATCGGTCACAATATGCTGTTCTAACATAAATTTAAGGTTGCACCAATCCATGTGTATTCTAAGACACTACTCTAACAAATAAGGTTATCAATTTTGAATAGCAAGCACAGTTGTGATAAGCTCCCACTCATAAACTGACTTGAGTCTAATTCTCGTTGTTAGCACTTGATCGAAATAAATGATGGGTTGTTGAAACTGCATGAAGACTATGCCTAAACCATAGCAAGAAACATCCATCTCTACAATGGATGGTTGGTGAAAGTCATTTGAGCCATGACTGATACATGATCTTTTTAAACTTCTCAGAAGTCTGGGTCACCGCTTTCCCAGTAAAAGTTATCATTCTTTAATTGCTCCATCAGCAACCATACTATTGGGCTGCAACACTTCAAAAACTACCGATAGTATCTTGTAAGTTCTATAAATAATTTTAACCTCTTCAAGATCTTAGATTGTGGCCAATCCAACATAACTTCCACAGTAGATGGATCCGCCGACACCCCTGTAGCCGACATAACATTCCATCTTTGGTTGGACAAACAAGCACTTCTTTAAGTTAGCGTAGAGCTAGTGCTCACCGAGTACTGTCTACACCTTCAAATGATCAATGTTGTCTTCCAAAAAATAGTTGTACACTAGAATATTGTCAAAGAACACCAACACATTTTTGGAAGAAAGGTTGAAATACCTTGTTCATTAGTGATTGAAATGTAGTCGGTGTGTTGGTGAGCCTGAATGACATAACTTGAAATTCGAAGTGACCCTCATGAATTTGAAATGTAGTCTTATTCACATCCGTCGATTGCATTCGAATCACATGATATCTTGACTTCAAGTTAATTTTTAAGTAGGACAAACCCAAGCAACTCGTCCAATAGCTCTTTGATCAAAGGGATGAGAAATTTGTCGGGTACTGTTTCATTATTCATTGCTCGATAATTCACACATAAATGCCAGCACCGATCCTTCTTTTTCAATAGCAAGATTGGGCTAGAAAGAGGCTCATGCTGAGTTGTATGATCATGACCTCCAACATTTCTTGGATCGATCTCTCGATCTCGTCCTTATGTACTTAGGAGTAGTTGAATAGGCACACACTGATGGGAGAAACCCCAACCTCAAGGCTATCACATGCTCGTGTTCCATTTAAGGAGGCAATCCACGTGAAAATGGGAAAATTTTACAAATTATTATAGGGGTCGTCGGATCGGTGCCATGATCTTTGCCAACTCCATATCACGTGTCTCTTCCATGCTATTTAACTTGATAAAAAATCCAAACCCTATATTTTGAATTGCTTTAACCATGGCTTTGAGTGTCACAAAGATCTTTCACTAACTAGAGTCACTGCCTTCTGAGACTCTATTGTAAAAATTTTCAATTCATTTTAGCCTTCCTAAAGGAATACAACCATTTCGTACCCAATATTACATTAGTGCTCCCGAAATTCTAATGAAGAAAATCCATCACCTTAGTAACTTGCAACATCAAAATCACTCCTTTATAAACTCCCCAGCTCTTCTTCATCTATCTCGTCCTCATCATTACTCCAAAATTTTTCGTGTCAACCACGTCAAGCCCCAACTACTCCACTACTTGAGTGGAGATATAGTTTTGGGTGGCTCACTATTTATCAACACCACTACGTCATACTCTTCAATTTGTCTCCACAATTTCATATGCTAACCTCATCACTGAATTCAATAGAACTTCTGCCACATCGAGGTGCGGGTGTTCCTCCTCCTCCTCCACCACAACTTTATCTATTTTCTCATACCCCACATCCTCTTGTCACATACTGTGAGGATCTATAAGGTTTGATTCTTACAACCACGTCCTTGTAAATTTCTCATCACATAAAAAACATAACATCTTGACTCGTTTCTTTTGAATATCCTACTTCGTGAAACATTTGAATGTTGCCTCTAATTGTGTCCCATTATTTATATCACGCGAAGCATCCCTCTTAAATATCATTGTTTTAGTTTTTGGTATCTTCACGGTTACAACATTCCAGTATGAAGCTGCACTTGTGTTGCTCATATTAGCCTGTTCTATTGTTTTTTTATATTCAACTAACTGAGCAAATTCCATAATTTTCTCCAATCCTCGCAGACTTCGCAAATGAAGTGTTGCTCAAATTTTTGGTCTCAACTTCTTCATGAAGTTTCTTTCCAATTCTGCTTTCGTACTCCTCTCAAACGAATATATAACATTTTAAAAATTTTAAAATACAACAGGTGCAAGATAAACAACATAATTTAGGGATAAAAGGAAGTGCTTCAAGTGATATACGATGTATCTTCTAGATCTTTTGAAAGGACTTTTAGATAAAAGGAGATTCTTCAGGTGATACGTATTGATGAAAGAAGCTATTGATGGAATTTAACCTCAAGTCCGAAGGAGATTTTTCACCATGAAGAAGAAAGTTATCGAGACATCATCTGTTGTGACTATTGCTGTTGTTATTCCTAGGTAAATAAAAATTGACAAAGTCTTCAAAGCCTTTGAAATCCCTAACACTGTCGTAATGCTGGACGAGAAATTTTTTGCAGTATTGGTGAAATTTTCAATGCCCCATTAATCTTTAAAATTACATCATCTTCTAAAACTATCACTAGTCTAACTAAGACTCAATAAATATACAAGAATAGGAGGCTTCACAAGAAGTACATATGGGCTAGCAAAGCGAATGAATTAGTTGAAAATGAGAATGCCCATGATAATGGTTCTAACTTGTCTGAAACCTCTTGAGATAAGGAAGGTTTCGCTCACTTTCCACTATACAAGAAGAATAAGATGTGC